AAAGAAGAAAATATTCCACAGTTCAACGTCCCAGCCAATTTGCAAAAAAAATAAAAAAAATGAATGTATTTTGTTTTTATCGTTGAATTTGTTTTTCATTTGCATCTGCAATTTGTTTTGTGAATATGTTAGTTTGTTATTTGAAATAGTTATATGTGTTTGTTTAGTGCTTATGTTTTGAAAGAAAAAAGCCAAATAAAGGATATTATAGTCATTTTGATGAAAATTAGGGCGACGAATAAGCTATTTTAGGGCGATGAATAGCAATGCCCTAATTTTTTTGAATTTATGCAAACCACCTAATTCACCCAACTATCTAATTGTGCATATCTACATGGATATGAGTCATATTTAAATTCATCCACTTCTTTTTGCGTATGTAATTGTTTTACCTTTTTTTTTTGCATTAGAAGGAGGCCTTAGGCCGAGAAAGAGTACAGGGGGGGATTACACATGGGGAGGAGAGATTGCCACAATATGGCGCTCAAAAGTGACACCTTGCACATCATCCCGAAGCAACGGAGCAACACCATTGGGTGGTTCCGCCAACTCATGCAACCCGTAGGGATAGACGAGACTGTGCTTCGAGAGCCAGTCCGCGACTCTATTCCCTTCGCGGTATGTATGAGATAGGCTGACCAACCAATCCTGACTTAGCTTCCTGCGAATAAGGCTCAAAAGAGTAGCATAGGGGTGGATGGGATCATGCCTGTTCTGGATCAATTGGATGGCTAGCTGAGAGTCAGAAGCCACCCGCACCAAACGAAAACCAAGTCTCCAAGTTAACTCGAGGCCATAGAAGATAGCCCATAATTCGGCTAAAGCTGCCGTAGCAGTACCCACGTTCGCTACGAAGCCTCCTTTCCAAATCCCCAAGCTGTCGCGGATGACACCTCCTGCACCGGCCGCTCCGGGGTTGCCATTGGAAGCCCCGTCGGTGTTCAGCATGACCCAACCCTCGGCAGGCGGATCCCAGCCGATGCAAGCGCTCACGCGCTCACCTTGCTGCTTCCTGAGATCAAAAACCAAACTCGGGGATTTCCAAGATTCATACCAAAGCTTACTCTTAACCAGGATAGAGTTCATGAGGGTGGGTGCGGACAAGGCGGCCCCAACTCCTTTAAAAGCAGCAACCGTGCGGTTTTTCCAAATCAGCCAGATCGCCATACTGAAGAACGCCGACCAGCCAATACCTGATGCCATGGATTCTTTGCTCAAGATGCTGCTGTGCAGCCACTCATCCTGGTTAGCAGTGAAAAAAGCTTGCTGCCTTTCCTGCGGAACAGACCTGGTCCAAAAGTACCTCGCAGGAGCACAATCCCTCAATAAATGGAGGATTGATTCAATTTGCCCAGGGCACCGGAGGCAGCAAGGTGAGGCCGCAATCTTCCTGTGAAATCTCAAATCATTGGTTACAATCCTCCCCTGCATGGTAAGCCAAACGAAACCTCTTACTCTCTCCGGCACCGTCAGCTTCCAGATAGCCTTCCAAACGTTATCCAAAGCTTGATCCCCTTGCTTAGTCAACAAGACATAGGCGGACTTCGTAGAAAATCTGCCATCAGCCGTCTCGGACCAGAACAACGAATCATCTTCTTGGGATAGCTTGTCCACCGCCGTACTCAGGATTTTGTTACAGATATCCGGAGGCAGAAGGTCTTCAAAGAGCTCTGTACGCCAGGTGCCATCATCCTCAACGAAATCTGCCACCGTTGCTACCTCCATGCTCCCAGGAATAACTCCCGTGGCCTTCTCCTTGAGGGATCCCTGCAAAACCCACGGGTCCAACCAAAAATTAGTCCGCCTCCCATTCTTTATATTCCACGCACAACCCTTTTTAAAAAGATCAGCAGCTTTCAACAAGCTATTCCAGGTGAAGGAACTTCCCTGACACTTTCGGAATATGTCTAGTCCTTGCCGATGTCTTCCGTATTTGGAATGGAGGATGCGAGACCAGAGATTATCCTTCTCCTTGAGCAACCGCCAGCAGCCTTTAGCCAGCATTGCTATGTTTGCTTGTCTGGCCGGTCTTAAACCTACTCCCCCTTGCTCCTTAGGCGTGCACAAAGTGTCCCAAGCGACGAGGTGCATCCTAGCTTTCTCCTCCTCATCACCCCAAACAAAATCTCTGCTGATTTTGTCAATGCTCCTGCACACACCGCTCGGTATCAGCTCAGTATGCATATTATACACAGGTAAAGAAGCAGTTACCGATTTAGCCACGGTGAGGCGAGCAGCAAAGGAGAGCCGTTTTGCTTTCCAAGGAGCCATCTTCTTCTGAATGCGAAGCAGAAGAGACTGGTAGCGTCCTTTGGTAACTCGCTCATGAATCGCCTGTATCCCAAGATATCTGCCAAGCGCTGCTTTGAGGGGAATCCCTGCGCACGTGCTCAAGTCCTCTGCTCTCCTCCGCGAGATATTGGGCGAGACATAGAGGATCGACTTGTTGTAGTTCACCCGTTGACCCGAACTGAAGCAGAAGTCGGCCAAAATTTGCTTCACAACCCGGATTTGTCTCCTTCCAGCTTCTGCAAATAATAACAGATCATCTGCAAAGAAAAGATGCGTTAGTGGCGGACCTGAACTAGTCAGCCTAATGGCTTTCCAACTTCCGCTAGAGAACGCCTCATCAATCTTATGAGATAATCTTTCCATACAAAGGACAAAAAGGTAAGGAGAGAGAGGGTCTCCCTGTCGCACTCCGCGGGTGGGTGTGATAGGTTGAGACAACTCGCCGTTCCATCTAATCCTCATGCTGTTATGCTCAACGCAGTACATAATGCAGCTGATCCAGGTACTGGGGAGCCCCACTTCCATAAGCGTGTCCCTCAGGAAGTCCCATCTAAGCATATCATACGCCTTCTCCAGATCAATCTTGAATACCAGACCGCCCTTCTTCCCTTTTCTTTTCCGAAGGGAATGTAAGACCTCTTGGACCACAATGATGTTGTCGGTTGTCTGCCTACCAGGGATAAAACTACTCTGGCGTGGCGAGATCAGCTTCCTCATCAATGGTTTCAGTCTACTGGTCATGGCCTTCGTAATGCTCTTGAGGCAGACATTGTTGAGGGATATGGGTCTGAGCTGAGTGACCCGCTCCGGGGAATCAATCTTCGGAATGAGTACCAGAGTGGACTCCGTTACTGCTTCAGGCAGCACGCTATTCTGGAAGAAAGATATAGCCAGGTCAGCTAACGATCGCCCAATCACCTGCCAGAACCGCTGATAGAAGGCCGCATGAAAACCGTCTGGTCCTGGTGCCTGAAAAGGCTTCATATCAAAAATGGCCTTCTGGATATCCATGGAATTAAAGGGTCTGAGCAAAGCTGCTGCTTCTTCCTGATTTAATCTGGGAAAGGCCTGCTTGGGCATCCTGTCCTCATACAGAGTGTTCTCCTGCAAAAAAATATTAGTGAAAAAATCGAACACCAGCTTAGCCAGAGCTTGAGGATCCGACACCCAGTCCCCATTCTCATCCTGAAGAGTATCAATCTTGTTATATCGCCTCCTCATGTTGACCTGTTGATGGAAGTAAGCCGTATTCCTCTCGCCGAACTTTACCCAGTTATCCCTAGATCGCTGATACCAGATGAGCTCTTCTTGTTCCAGAACCTTATCTAACTCCATCTCTAGCCTGCCATGGAGCTTGACAAGACCGGGATTGAAACCAGAAGCCAGCCTGTTCTCGATACCCTTCAGGCGAGCCAGCAGTCTGATTTTCTTCTGCTTCACATTCCCGAACACCTCCTTGTTCCACTCCATAAGCTTTTTAGAGAGATCAACCAAGGAGTCTTGAAAGGGCGAGAGTTGATTCCAGTTCCCCGAAACAGCCTCCTGCAGACTTTCACTAGTGAACCAAGCGGCTTCGAACTTAAAGGACTGAGGTCGGGGTTGCTGGTTCTGCTGAAGAAAGATGACCGTCAGGATCGGGTTATGATCCGACTGAAGCCGAGGGAGGTGAGAGACCGAAGTGTTGGGGAAAACAGAGTTCCACCTCAGATTGCAGAGACTCCTGTCTAACCTGCTGGCTTTGAAAGTGTTGTTCTGATCACCCCTGCACCAGGTGAATCTTGGTCCAGAGAAGCCGAGATCAACCAGTTCCGCGAGCTGCATCATGTTGGTAAAGAAAAAGCAGCGCCTCAACGTATCACTCTTCGGGGGACCCGACTTCTCCTCAGGAGAACTAATGGCGTTAAAATCACCAGTGAGGAGCCACGGAAGATTGATACATTTGCTTTGAGAGATGAGACTGCTCCAAAGTTTTCTCTGCTCGCTCTGCCGGGGAGATGCGTAAACCGCCGTTAACATCCAGTTTATTCCGTTCGCATTAGTTATCTTCAAGGATATATGCTGCGTGCAAGCTGAGAACGGTTGTACCGAGAAGACTCCTGCGTCCCAGAACACCCACACTCCGCCCATTCTCCCATCGGCCTCCACTCGGAAAGAGTTAGAATAACCCAGCTTATCGCAAACCTTGTTCGCCGCATCCCCACTAATTTGCGGTTCCTGCAGAACAACAAAATCAGGACGGTGAGTCTGAATTGCCAGTTTGAGAGCCCGGGCAAAAGCTTTGCTCCCAGCCCCCCCAACATTCCATGAAAAAATTTTGATATTGGACATCGACATTAAAGGAAAATTCAAAAGAGGGGAAGAAGAGGATCCGTAGCACCGCGGATTCAAGGAGCAATTAGGCAGAAGTGGTCGCGCCCCCATCCAGGCTGCTGGTCGATGTGCAGAAGCCTACTGGTCCCTCTGAATCTTTCTCCTCTGCTCCGCCTGAAGATCGACGAGCGGCCTCGGTCCAGGCTGTAATCTCTTGTAAGGTGAGGGAGGCGATACGAGCCTTGGACTTCGGTTTCCTTTCTTTGATCGGTGACCAAATTTGTAATGGCTTTAGTTGATTAAGCCTCGCCGGCGATTTCTTGGCTTGGGGTTTCTTATTCTTGCTTCTCTTCGTACGCGCAGCCACCGAAGGGGAGGAGATAGGAGATTGCAGGCTGTCATGCTGGGGAGCTCGCTGATGTTCCAAAATCTGCATCACCGTGCCATTTTTCCCAATCTCAGTGCGGAAATTGGGCTGTTGAGGAATTCGGGCCTCGACACCATCTTGGGCCGCCATAGTAACTGAAACAGAGGGAGACTCCAAGGCCTTTTCCGAGTTGGCCTGTTCGGATGCTACGTTGTTGGAGGATGAGGCTACGTTGGAGCTTTTGGGCCTGATCGGGCCCTTATTGTTTGGATTCAGGTGACCTGGCCCTGGCCCCAGAAGCCCATTCCCTTGCACCTCGTTCACAACCGCCACTTTTTCTTTTCCTTTTTTGCTTGCCTCGCCGCCCGTCTTCCCTTTCCTTTCCTGATTAGAGACCCGTTGCTGCAGAGGGGCGTTGGGGCTCGCCATGGATGGTCCAGCCTGTAGAGATTCCTTAATGATCGCCCCACCTTTCCCCGATTTGTTTGTCGATCCGGAGATCTGATTGCTCGTTTCATTCACCGACTTTCCTTTTCGTGGAGCCTCCCTAGGATTGCGCCGACTCTTCCGCGTGACCATCATCCAAGGACCAAAGCCTGGGTTGGCATCGATCGGCTCCGCCGACAGAGACTCCGGCGGTAGATTCCCGGTGACCGCCGCTGGAACAGTTAGAGTCGGCAGATTGTTCAGCGGGCAGCCTGCTGCAGAGTGACCGATCTTACCACACTTGAAGCAGATCTCAGGAAGATTCTCGTATTCCACCTTCTGCCATTCATCATCTAGCCAAATCCTGGGAACAAGATGCCTTGACAGATCCACTTCGACAGCCAAACGAGCAAATTTCGCCCGCTGTTGGGTCAGGGTGTGATAGTCCAATTTGATTGTTCTTCCTATGAGATTCCCAAGGGTGTTCAACACTTCTTTGTGGTAGAAGTGTATTTTTAGAGCTGGGAGTTGCACCCAGACGATCATCGTCTTGGGAAGAGGGTCCGAAGCTTTGAACTTGGGAGTCCACTGCTGAACCACCAGGTAGTGGTCATGAATAACCCAGGGTCCGTCTGTCAGAGCGCGAAAATAATCTTGTTCGTTATCAAGCTTCACTAAGAAACAATCATGATCAAGGTCTTTGACCTCCATAGCACCGCACGGACGCCACAGCCCTTTCAGCCGATTGCACATGGTGACAAAGCCAATTCTTAACCCGAGCAGACGAACAACCAAGGTTTTTTGCCATGGTGCACAGATCTTGGCCTTGAATTGAGGTGACACTCTCAGCGCCGGTTCTCCATTGTGTTCCTCTGTCACCAAGTCATGTTCACCTACCGGAGTCCATTGGATTAACTGGTTCGGAGATGGGGCTCTAGAGGCCGGTCCCGTCAGCGCTCTAGCATACGAGCCTGGATTCGTGGCAGATACCACTTCTTCGGACTGACCCTTTCGCTCTCCTACTTCCTTGGACTGCATCCCCTGTTGAGACAAAGACACAGGCAAAGGGGAAGAGTCAATTACCATCTCAGAGGAGGGGATGGCAGGAGCCATCGGGATGGTTAAACTAAATGGAGCAGAAGAAAATGAGGGATCGGGTTGGTCCGGCGGCCGATCAGAGGGCAGTAACGCCGGAGCCGAGGAGCAGCTTCCGTCACAGTCAGTCGAGAGCATTTCAGCAGTTCAGGCAGCCTCATTATATCATGTAATTGTTTTACCTAAAAGCTAAAACTCCAACCAAATGCCCATTAATTAATAGTTTTTTTAAACAAAAGATAATCATATTGATTGATTGAGAGATCAAAATTACACCCTGAAACCAACTCAAGACTGAATATCATACAATCGACACGAAGTCAGAGGCAAAGAAAGGGCCTTCCGAGCCACGAGAAAGGGCTACCCTATTGCTAATCTTACCTACAAATCGAACATGAAAACCACTATTCAGAGTCGCCATACGCAGAATTTTTTCGATATGGCCCCAACACGGTTGTCTCACGCATCCTTGGAATTAATCTTGTCAATTAGCACCTTAGCATAACCTTCAAATCGAACTTGATCAAGGCCAAGGTCCTCACGACCAGTGCAGCCTTTATACAGCGGGTCCGGGCATGGATAAATGTCGTGCAGAATGCCTTGGACAAAGACAGGTTAATCCATCAACCTAGTCTGCCCACAAGAACGGAGGTGGAGATCTCTTGGAAGCCGCCACCTCCCGAGTGGGTCACTCTCAACTCTGACGGCTCAGTTCACACTAATTCAGGTCACGCTGCTGCGGGTGGCCTAATTCGGGATCACACAGGACGTTGCCTGGCAGCGTACGCGATTAACCTGGGGAATTGCTCTATTACCCGGGCTGAGTTGAGAGGTGTTGTAGAAGGGCTGCAGCTGGCTTGGGACACTGGTTTCAGACGTGTCAGAGTGGAGCTTGATTCTCTCTGTGTAGTTCAACTCCTTGGGAATTTGGACGAGCCAGATCATCAGCAGGCAGCCATTATCCAGAGATTCAAAGAGCTGCTCACTCATCAATGGGAAGTTGTTGTTTCCCACATTTTTAGAGAAGGAAATAAATGTGCCGATCACCTAGCTAGTCGTGGGCATTTGTTGCCCCTTGGTTATCATTCCATCCCCTATTCTGACCCCACTCTGTGTATTTTTCATTATGTACGATTGTCAGGGGCTCTCTGAACCCCGTTTGGTTTTGAATGAAGGCTGAGATGCACTGCATCCATTTATTAAAAAAAATATTACTGGTTGCAACAATATTACTGTGACTAAAAATTAATTTCGATCAAGCAGCATAGTGAAACAAGACTCGGTCACTGGACTTCTTGGCCCATATGAGTTTAGTTTCTCAAACGGCCCAACTGGGCTGGGCTCCCCTATCTGACATCATGGTAACATTGTGGGATGACGTGTATATCTCTATGCAACTGTCATTAATTAACTCAGCAGTAGCACTCACTATAAAGTCTAAAGTAGAAGTTACTAGTAAAATATATTTGTAGTGAGTGATATCACATATCAGTTGTAAACTTGTAATAAATTATTATAAACTACGTAAGGTAAATTGGTTACACTTTGATGGTGCAACATAAAAGTGTTGACCCATATGAGCTGCTTCTTCAACTGGGCAAACTTCTTTTTGTTTTTTCTCTCTTTCGCAAAACAAGATATATCGTTATATAAACTTGAATTTGACCAAATTATATTGGTCCATATACAGACTCGGATGCGTTTATTTTCGTGCAAAAAAAAAATTCTTCCTAATTCAAAAGTTTCTGTAGCCAAGCCGCGTAGGGTACAGCCGGTCAAACTCAAAACTCAAAAGGATGGGTTTCATATATTAGTAGTCACTAAACTTCAACAATACTAGCACATAGGTCATTGAACTTTCCTTTCAATGATTTTGTCACTCAAGTATAGACTAACGTAATTGTCACTTTCTTCACCTAGATCAAGTTTTTGGTCTCGATCATCTAGTTGGTTTCAATAATTTGAGTTGTTGGTAGAAATTTGACTTTAATGTCATTCATTTACGCACCTCCACAAGCTAAAGGCAAGCGCATTGGTAAAGGCAGGATTTTAACCTTTGTCATTGAACATAGGTAAATTTTGGTAAAAATATTATGTTTGCGAGAGATTGAACTCACAATTTTAAGGTGACATAATGTTATCTTGTCACTAGAAAAAACTCAATTCTTGTTATATATGTTAAATACTAATTTTTTATATATATATATATATATTTTGAAAAAAGTGATATACCTAATTTCATGTCATGTTTTGCCATTGGGCAAGCGGACTTGATCCTTGCATAGACTCTTCATCGTACCTTTACAATTTGTGCATCAATTAACATTTGCGTTATTAAGACTCGACAACCGAAGGTTCCAATATCATGTAAAAAATAAACTAATGCTACTTGATACTTAAATTATTCATTTAGCCAAATTACTAAAAACTAGGCAAGAAAGTAACTAAAAATGTATAGCTCATTATGGTTTGAAATAATATCAACAAAAACTCTTTTCATATTAATTTGTGTGATTTAACACAAATTAGACTATGCCGTTAGATTATTTGGATGAACATTTTGAAACAAAATGAACCCGGGCCTTTTTTATACCAAGATATTGTCCATTTTGAACCTACATCCTTACAAATTTTGCCTTGAGATAGCATATCAAGGTGACTTCTAATAAGGTCACTCATTCTTGTATTGCTCCATCATGAGCATATTTAACTTTGGTTCTCACAAGAACTTATTTATTTCACCTCAAAACGCATCTTGTCAGTTACAGTTGGTTTCTTACTTATTAACCATGCAACTCTTTCGTACTTTGTCGATGTGGGATTCGTCTAAACTATTACAATAACTATCTTATTAGCCAGTCCAAACTTTAATGGCATATCCGTAACGCTTTAAACATCGAGGACCGATTTGTTGGTCGTTAGAAATAGTTGCCGATCTGGTTCACAAAGTTTAACGACGACTACCCTCGAGAAAAGATCCAAAGAGCGGCATAACGATCCACACCCCAAAAGAACAGGAGGAAGAAATTCTTCTATCAGACAAAAAGAAAAAGGAAAAGGGCTACAAAAATCAGAAAACAAACCATTTTTGGGTGGGCAGAAGGAAGCAGCGACCCGGGCAGCCACCAGTGTTCTTCTTCTTCCTTCTTCTTCTCTTTTCCCCCGATCCCCGAATTTCTCTCTCTCTCTCTCTCTGCCTGCGCAGCAACTAAACTGAAATAAGTAACATCTTTGAAGAATTTAAGGAAATTGTTCGTTCCCATCAGAAGCCAACGAAAAGTGACACCAAAGGTGAGAGCTTTTCTTTATTCTGTTTATCTCAGTTCTTCCTTCCATCCAGCTTTCAGTTTTCTATATTTGATCTGTTACTTCGTACTCTCCGTACACACCCTCTTCTTCCCTCCCTCTCTCTCTCTCTATATGATTGACCGACCCACTTTGCTCAATTCTCTTCTTTCAATCTCAGCATCAAGTGCTTCAACTAGGAAAGAATACCCTTTTCAATTCCAGATCTTCATTTGGTAAAATTAAGAATTTCTGCTGCTTGTTTGTTTGGTCTCCTTAGTTTTGCTTCTGCATTTGTTTACCCATCTTGATCTATTGAATAGTTAGGAACTGGAATACTAACAAAGTTTTTATCTTTGATTTGGAGCTGCTACTGGGCTACCCTGCTTTTTTGAAACTGCTTCAAGTTCTCTGTGTTTCTCTGTTTTTCTCCAAGTTTTGATCGAATTTATCTGTTCTTGAGCGAAAATTATAAATATAATAATATATGGAAGTTCCTTCTTCCCCCCTTTTTGTTGCTTTTTCCAGACTAGGTTCCTCTCTAATTTGGCTTGCAATCTGAGTGAAATCGGGATTGAGCTTCAAACTAAAGCCGGTTTTATGTAGAGGAATCCTGCACAGCGGGAATTTGCTAAAACCCTAATTCTCTAGTAAGTCATTTGGTGAGCTGTGAGAAAATTTTCTGGCCAATGGAGGCTGCAGCATTTGATGCCGGGGTTCAACAACCTGAAGGAGAGGAGAACTTAATCGAAGCTGCGAAGCAAATTGTGAAGGCTTTAGGGTCGGGAAAGAATCTCACGGATGATGCAAGGAAAATTTTGGCTGACCTGGGCACCCAATTGTCCACCATAAACATAATCAGTGAGGACAAGGACAGTGACATAGGCGAGCTCGAGGCACAGTTGGATGCAATTCAGGAGAAGATTGCGAATTGGGAGGCTGACCAGTCTATGATATGGGATTCAGGTCCCGATGAAGCTGGTGAGTATATGAATGCCACTCTAGAAGCCCAAAGATTGATTGAAAGATTGGAGAATTTTTGCCCTGGTGGTGGTGCTGGAGATGATGCTGGTAGAAGGGATTTGCTACGCAGGGCGCACGATGTGCTTCAAATGGCAATGGCAAGGCTCGAGCAGGAGTTTACACACTTGCTTGTACAAAACCAGCTACCATTTGAGCGAGACAATGTAGCATCTTTCCGTTCAAGTGAAGATGATGGTCTCGATTTCAACTCGTTTGTCTCCACTGGTGATGATCTTGAGGACCCGAGTAATCGAGATAGCAGCGTCAGCAGGAGCTGGGAGGAACTCACCATTGATATGGTACACCCTGATGCTATCCCAGACCTTAGAGATATTGCTGAGTTGATGTTTGTTTCTGGTTATGGTCACGAATGTACACAAGCATATATCACTGTTAGAAGAGATGCCTTGGATGAGTGCCTGTTCATTCTCGAAATGGAGAAACTGAGCATCGAGGATGTACTGAAATTGGAATGGGGGAGCCTTAATTCCAAGATTAAAAAGTGGATCCGAGCTTTGAAACAGTTTGTCCGAGTCTATCTTGCCAGCGAGAGTTTCCTCAGCGAGCAGATCTTTGGACAGCTCGAGCAATCATCATGGTCAGTTTGTTTCATCGAGGCGTCAAAGGGATCAATGCTGCAGCTGTTGAACTTTGGGGAAGCCATATCTATTGGTCCTCACAAACCAGAGAAGCTCTTCCCTATCCTCGACATGTACGAGACCGTTTCAGGTATGATTCCCGACCTAGATTCTCTATATGCAAGTGGAGCTGGTTCGTGTGTTAGAATCGATTGCCACGAGCTTCAGAGAAGGTTAGGTGATTCAGTTAGGGCAGCATTTTTAGAATTTGAGAATGCAATCGCGACGAGCACTTCAACAATTGCTTTCGCTGGAGGAGGGATCCACCATTTGACACGCTATGTTATGAATTACCTCAATACACTCACTGACTACCAGGAATCGTTGAATTACCTCCTGAAAGACCACGATAGACAGAATGCTGTTGTTATGTCGCCTGATCTAGCTCCGTCAACAAGGCAAGAAGACGATGCCAGGGGGGAACCTGCTGCAGACGATTACGCCACCATGGCTCTACACTTCAGGTCGGTCACCTCGATCCTGGAGTGCAATCTTGACGACAAGTCAAGGCTGTACAGGGATCCATCCTTGCAGCATGTATTCATGATGAACAATGTCCACTACATGGCACAGAAGGTGAAGAATTCAGCAGCATTAAGGCACGTGTTCAAGGACGAGTGGATCAGAAAGCGCAACTGGAAGTTCCAGCAGCACGCAATGAGCTATGAGAGAGCCACGTGGAGCTCCGTGCTGTCCTTGTTGAAAGACGAAGGCAACTCCCATCCGGGATCGGTCCCTAAAGCTCAACTCAGGGACCGGCTGAAGAACTTCTATGTGGCGTTCGAGGACGTTTACAGGACGCAGACATCATGGATCATCCCCGACGCTCAGCTACGCGAGGACCTACGAATCTCGACCTCGCTCAAGGTCATCCAAGCTTACCGAATGTTCATCGGGAGGCACACGAACAACATCGGTGATAGGCATGTTAGGTATAGTGCTGACGATTTGCAGAATTATTTGCTGGATCTGTATGAAGGGTCTCAGAAGTCATTGCACAATCCTCACCGTAGATGATGATGATGATTATTATTATTATGATAGTAAAGGGTATTTGTATTAGTATTCATTAATCCAGCTACAGATCATTAGGCTTTTCTTTAATCATACACATGTGTAGTTATGTGCATCATGGAAGTTGTATTTTCTGTATCAATAATTATGAGATATATGATGGGGTTCGAAGTTCAAACGTATGAAGTTGGTCAATTTTGGATTGCTTTGACGAGCTTTCAATATTGAATGGTCGTGTTCCATATACAGGGCATCATTGACGAGCCAATCAATCATTGTACAATCAAGAAAGAGCACGCAGAAATGCTCCAGGGCAGAGATCCCATTCCCATTAAGCCCTTTAGCATAGTAATGTTCAATGAATTCCTTCAGGGCAGTCTCCCTGTAAACCGGGGGATTCTCATCCGATATCAGCTCCTTGAGCGGGCCATAAACTCGGGAGGAGTTCTCAGGAAGCCGCTGCGGTCTCAAGAAACAGGCTATTGAAATCCTGGGGCCTATTGATTTAGGAACTACTCTGTGTTGAGAGCTTTTGAATTCCTCGTTAGAGATCAACTGCATGTTCCATTGCCAAAGATTTGAGTATGAAAACCAGCTAGTTTTATAGCAAAACTTGGAAACATGCACGGTCCAGTTTTTACCTGCATCAAGTCTCCCAGATTTATAACAAGAGCATTTGCTGTGGGCTTCACTTCAACCCACTGATCATCACAAAAGACCTGAAGACCGCCAATTTGGTCTTGGAGAAGCACAGTGAGAAAGCTGCTGTCAGAATGGCCTGCTAGTTCCTATTGTCAAATCCGGTTCTGGACAAGCCGGATAGTAATGACCCAGAAGCAGCAAACCTTCCAAGCTTCCAAGCAACCTATATTTAACCTCTTATACGTCTCCTCAAACGAAAGCCGATGCCTCTAATTATGGGTTTTTACGGTTTACACAGGTTGAACCCTTATGCTACCAAACCACGAGGCTTTAGTTTGCACAGGTTGGACATACCAACCCTTGTGCTAAACGAATTGGCATGAAATGGGGGTCGTTATGAGGATTCGAAACCATAACCTTTCGGTTCTAGGCTCTGATACCATGTTAGCGAACTAACCACTTGGCCCCAATAGCTCGAGTCGTTGAGAAAGGGATAGTTATCTTATACAATCCCAATGCTTCATAAACCAATTCAAGCAGCTTCCTTGCCAATCCCATCACTTCCTTCGAATAATCAACCATCACCTCCCTGTTACAAAACAAAATCTTGATTAGAAATAGCAAGATATGATGTAATTGAGTTATAAGATTCAATCTTATCTTCGTGATTAGTCTTACAATCCTACCACTCACAAGTTTCAAAATAAAAAATTAATGTTTATAACGCACCCGCTGGTTTGAGGGAGTTCTTGTGGGTTTGGCGGGCGTGGGGGGGCCATGACACAACCTAAGGTATCCCTCCAGTTAGCCGCCGGCGACTGATATAAATCGAAATTGGAGTTGTAGGTAAACGTCTTGTTAAGGAAGTCCCTGGTGTAGAACTCTTTCTTCGCTTCAGCATTTTGTTAGTGGAACTTCTTCACTCCTTCAATGGTCTTATCCAGAAGGGCTGTGGGTATCCCGTGACTAACCACATGGAAACCCCCTGTTTCGTTGGCGAAACTCGCGTGTTCAATGCGCACTGTTTTCAAGTAAACACAAAACACAACGTCAATCACAACCGTCAAATATCCGCCGCCGAAGTCGGCGCCGTTGATTTGATCGATTAAACAGAAACCAAGAAGACCGTCAAATATCCACCGCCGGCGTTGGCGATGTTGATTTGATTGATGCCCCTTTGACTTCTAACCAAACAACCGTTATTCGGTTCACCACCTCTCCAAACTACGTTCGAACGAGGGTGTTCGGCGAATAACCAGAAAATCGAACCAGGAGTGTTCTAAGTTACATTACCTCTACTCCTATGGAGGTTCCTCTGGAGAGCTCCGCAACTACGACTACGATCTACAACTACTACGACTCTGCAAAGGAGGTCTTTGACAGAGAAGCTTTACGAACTAGAGAGAAAAACTGATAATCTACGACGGTGCAGTTTGTGATTTGATTTTGCCCTCCCGAGCTTCTCTCTCTTCCTGATGTTTATACCGCAATCTTCTGCCCGTAGTCGTAGTAACCGTCTTCGCGCCTTTGTCTCCCACGTCTTCATTCCTGTCAACCGTGCGGGTAACTTCCTCCTCGTTGCGTGATAATCACGTGCCCCCGAAACCGTTCCGCTACGCAGAAACTCGGCAAAACGACATTGAGCCAACTCCTACAACCTTGTACATGCAACGATGCCGTTTCACCAATACCGCGGCATCGCTTTTCACTACTCAATGTCATTTTATAATCACGACCCAATTGCCCCAGCCAGATTTGACCAACGACATCGTTAGTCCATCAAACAACGTCGTTTTCTAGTCTTGCGCCGCCATTGGGCTTAGCGGGCCGCCTTTGGCCGAACTCTTACCCACTACCGCGGTGTCGTTTTACCTTTCCGTGACATCGCTTAGTAATATCGCGGCGCTGTTGATGCATTAAGCAGTGTCGTTTTTAGCTAAACAGCACCGTTTGATTCCACCCGTGACATCGTTTTAATATTAAACGACTCCGCTTCCAGCCTTGCGGTGTCGTTTTCTTCCCCAATCAGCTCCGTTTGTTTTTTCCTCCGCGACACCGTTTATTTTCAACACTGTCGTTTGCTAGTACGGTGTCGTTTTGAATTAAACCACACCGCCTAACATAATAAAAAGAAACACCAACGTATTAAATTGCCGCGATTTTGCACGTTTGGGCTGGGCGGATTTTTGGGCCAATCACTTACCCGATATGGTTTTTAATTAATCGGCACCGCTTATCAAGGCCTCTCGCGGCATCGTTTTTAAATCCGCGGTACCGTTTTAATTCTCCGCGATGCCGCTTTTCTCCATGCGGTACCGCTTCTCCCCTTCCGACAAGGAATAATAATAATAATAATAATAATAATAATAATAATAATAAACTCCTTTTCCAACACCAATACTAAAATGCGCGGCCCCCATCTTGTTTTCCGATGAACGGTGTCGTTTCTCGTGCCGCGGTACCGCTGAGCTTCCTTGCGGTACCGTTTTTTTGTTTCGCGGTATCGTTTTAACTCTCCGCGATGCCGCTCGACTCCAAACGACACCGTTTTTTACCCGCGGTATCGAATTAAATGCCGAGACTAATTAATGCGGCATTTAATTATCCCAAAATAATTTTAGGGTGTCAACACCCCCACATCTCCGGCACGCGTCTCTTACTTTGACGATCACCCGGTGACTCGCTAAAACACAACTCCTAACAATGGCCAAGTGTAACCAATGAAAGGGACTGCAGTATAGTGGCTCAAGTAATAAATATCGAATCCACAGGTCTCTAGAGTTACTATTACTCAGCTTCAATTCATTATCTAGCAAAACAGATTAAGATGAAAGAACTAAAACTACTCTAGCAAACTACAGTTAAAGTTAATCTAATTACAGGTTGGGAACTCACTTAGTTATGATTCCCCCTAGCCACTAGCCAGATTAACGATTGATGATCTCTAACTTGTTTCACTTTCATTCACAATGCGGAGAATCCTTGACTAGACCTTGAGTCTCGACTAAAGGAACAAGGCCCTCTTGAGTCAATTGCCTAGAGGGACGTATCCTTCTCTAGAACAATCGATCAAGGCGTTCTGAACTAGACTCCCTCTATCGAATGAGGTTCTCAATCGATACAAAGCAGTGAATCAACCCTCGACTAAAGCAATCGATCCACTACTATCAATCTATGGTGCTCTATTGACCTAATCAGGTATTCGCTCTCATAGGATCAAAGCAGAATCAATAATCTCGACTAAAGCAGAATTGAATCGTGAAAACATGCATAGATTGAATATGAACTCAAGATTATCAAGTCAGAGTACTCATACAATCATCCAATCAAACAAACATAGCTAGGGTTCCTCAAAACCTAAGTTAAGGGAAGTTACTCCATAGAGAAGAGAGAGACTGCAGAAATCTGATCTAGATCTTCAATCTCCATCTCCAAACTTGATTCCCGAGCTCCAATGGCGAAGAAATCCTCCAAAATAGCTCCAAGAATGTTCCCAAGTCGCTCTCTCTCTCTAGGGTTCGTCCCTTGGTTGTTTGGGATCCAAAACTCAGCTCTCCTCTTCTGTTTTGGCTGAAATCTGCTTAAAAACCAGAATTCCCCGACTCGCACGGCAAGGGTGCACGGCCGTGCGGCTCACCATCTTGCCCGTGCGGCTCAAAACGCGGCGTACCATTAAGTCGAACTTCAGCCATCTCGCACGGCCAGGATTGCACTTTGCACGGCCGTGCGGATTTCACTTGTGCCCGTGTTTGCTCTCGCACAATCCCGCACGGCCAAACTGGTCACTTGCACGGCCGTGCGGGTTTTCTGCTCTGCCCGTGCGTGCTCTCGCACAATCCCGCACGGCCAAACTGGTCACTTGCACGGCCGTGCGGGTTGTAGGTGTGCCCGTGCGACTTCCTCAGAACCTCGCCATGCGTCCGATCCTCGTCCAATCGACCTCAAACTCGCTCCCAAGCCTCCATTCACGTACTAGGACCTGAAATATCATAAACAAGCACAACCTAGCGTGAAATCGACCTAAAACACGAGAATCAATACCTCAAACGGAGTAAGAGCAGGGGTAAAAACATGTGTAACTAACGGTCTATCACCCGGCGGCGTGCATTTGGGTCTCCGTCGATAGCTTGCAAGTCAACGGTCGCAATGGCCGACAGCTCCAGCCCAGGGTCTCCCGAAGATGATATGACATATGGTGTTCAATTTATAAATTTATTTAGAGCTTAATTTATGATTTCAACCATTTAGACTTATAATGAGTCGAGCTCGGCAATTTATTGATTAGGCGAGCTCCCGTGGAGCTCATGAGCTCCTTAATGAGCCAAGATCGAGCTCAGCTCGTTCCTTAACGAGCCAAGTTTAACCTTAGGCTAAATTCGGCCCAACTCGGCTCGTTAAGAATCAGGCCGAGCTCAAACTTAACAAAACTCAACTAGATTCGACTCATTTACAATTCTAATGTGTGAGTTTCCTCGAACCACGTACTGATTAGTTTTGATATGACATATTACATTGCCGCATAAATTTGATTATTAGGATGATTACCATTTTAGATTTGCGATTCATATACATAAAAACGGCCCCACTCAAACCCTTTGTCATCCCTAATATTCATTGTCAGCAGTTGGTAGTACTAGGGGTGAAAGCTTGTCCCTGAAGACCCATTGACCCGTCCCGACCCGTCCCGTCCCTAAGGGTCGGGATGGGTCAGTTTGTCTACAGGGACAGATTAGGGACGGGTCATTTGTTGACCCTGTAAGGGCCGGGACGGGTCGGGACAACTTAGGGACGGGTCACGTTTTGACCCTGTGACCCTTAGCAACAACAAATATCTCATACTTCATTGGACCTTTTTGTAAAGTTTTAAAAGTTTAGGTACTAATATGTAAAAATAAAAAAATTTGGGTACCAAAATGTAATTTTACCATAAAAATTTATGGACTTATTTGTAAAAAAAATAAAATTTAGGTACTAAATTGTAAGAAAAAATAATTTTGGGTACCAAAACATAATTTGTATAAAAGTAGTGTATTGATTAGGGTCGACCCACTGACCCGGCCCGTCCCGTCCCGTCCCAACCCTTGAGAGTCAGACAGGGTCAAGAAGGAGACAGGGACGGGACGGGACGGTTATACATCTTGACCCTTCAGGGACGGGTCAGACAGGGACAGGGGACGGGGCAGGGACGGGACAAGCAAATTTTCAGCCCTAG